GCGGCCAGAGACTCACATAAAGCTAGCCAGACACACTGCACAGAGCAAAGCAGACTGCGGCCACCCTGACTCCAACGGCAGGAAGATTACAGATCCAGATCTCACATCTGGAACAAGAAGTCCTCCATAATATAATGGACGTTCTACCAGACAAGAAAGAGGAAGGAAAAAAAGCACCTGCAGGATGCATTTGGTCCATTGCTATTAAATGTCCCTGTCACTCCTATGCATAACCATTTCCTGGCCACAGCAAATGCAACCCTGGGACTGGCACAGGAGTTGTGTTTAACTAGCTCTTCTTTCCAGTTTTGATTTTTCTGTAATAGGAGAGTTTCATTATTCATCTTTCTTAAAAAAAATTAACTGAAGTTTAAGACCGACTGCCTCACCTCGTAACCAGAGGCAGGCTAGGTGTGCACATACCAGTGACAGTTTATGGCAGCCTAACACATTTCAGACATACAATAGAGTTACAGAGGCTTAAGAAGTTACCACCAAAGGTAAACTGCAAGAAGAACAGTTCACTTTATTTTTTACATATCATTCTTATTTTTCTTGTCAATATGAGCCCCTAAGGAAAAGTACTGCTAGCCGCAATTATTTTTCATCTCCACTTAACTCATTCTATGGGCTTACACTGCCATGGGTAAATTCATATATAAAGCTTTCCACTTCCTGAATATGAAGTACTTGGAAAAGTTCATCTGGCTGTTTCACTTCAAGACAGTGTGTACTTAAGTATGGTCTTCCGCCTCTAACCCAACCAATTCCCCACTCAGTGTAAGTCTGATCTTGTATTTATCACTTTCTAGATAACCTACAACATCAATGAGGTCAGAGAACAGCGAAAAGGAGTTTATCTTTCAAGGAAGTTTCTGGTCCAGACGTTCCCTACTCTGTGTTTCTGTAGAAATACAGCTTCACAAGATATTAGAAAATTACTGAACCAAATTTTGGTAGCATGCATTTGTAAGTGGCCTCAATATAGCACTCTCATATCAAATACAGTTACAGTAATACACATTAGTAGTATAAAGTTAGGTGGCTTGTCCTCCACAGTCCACCTGCCTTAACTCATCCTGGCTCTGGCTTGCCAGTCCTCCACACACCCATTTTTGCCAAGTCAGCTTCATCATGTAAAACTTCATCTGTATTTTCCTTAGAACTCCCAGTTCCTGCAGTCAAGAGAGTCACATTATCATTTAATAACTTCAATGGTTTTAACACCACAAGTGTGAGAAAAGAACTAAAGAATCATGCCCTGCTACAAAGTGACAGGAGAAAAAGAAACAAAATTGAGAAGAGTATCTTCAGAAATTGAAAAGGGACTTCACAGATTCAAGTCTGTTTGGGGAACTACACTTACTCTACTTCCGTAGTACAGGTTAGAAGAGAATGCACTTACATTTCACGTTCCTATCCTACAAATATTGGAGGAAAGCAAATACACCAACAGCATCATCACATATTTTAATAATGTAGCAGTCCATTTATCATTTGTAAGGGTCCAGGTCAACATACCATCAGTAAGCTGTCACTGTAAGAGATCACAGCCTTCTGGCAAGAGAATGTTCCAGTGTAAATTATGCTCTTAATGCTTCATGACTGCTTTGCGCCATTAATTATCAACTAGAAGCAGCGATGACCATGTGGAACTTTAACTCTGCAAAAATTTTCTCAACATGCCTGCTATATCAGCTTTGTATTTGTCAGAATTAACAAGAATACATCGGTTATTTAAAAAAAAACAAAAACCACAATAATCAGAGCAGTAACATCTCAATTCACACATAAATATCAAGCAGAAAATTAAATAGGAACCACAATTTTTAAAAGGTCATCTAGGAGCATAGCACTTCAGCAGGGCACCCTGTCACTTGAAGTTCTGTGTCTGCAAGGGACCAGACCTTGCTCCAGGAGCAAGGAAGCAGGCGGCCAGACCAGATCGTGCCCCTCACTACACCTTCCCTGCCCACATTGAAGAAACTAAGGAAGTTTACTAGATCTAAAGCCCACTGTCAATTTATTACAGAATCACAGAATGGTGGGGGTTGGAAGAGACCTCTGTGGGTCATCTAGTCCAAACCCCCTGCTGAAGCAGGGTCACCTACAGCAGGCTGCACAGGACCTTGTCCAGGCGGGTCTTGAATATCTCCAGAGAAGGAGACTCCACAACCTCCCTGGGCAGCCTGTTCCAGTGCTCCATCACCCTCAGAGGGAAGAAGTTCTT